TGAGTGCAGTTTTTCAGCCAGTCGCCCCATAAAACCGCCTTAAAATGTCATAAATAAATTACGGTTTCAGCAAATCGTATTCCGAACAGGCCAAATGAACTAGGTGGCATATTAATAACGAGATTATTCAGAATCTAATAGTGGGTGTTCACAATTATACGTGTCGCGCCTCCAGTCGCCGCGAAGGAGTGTTTTGTGGTCGAAAGTGAAAAATGCCAGCCCGGCCCTGCCCTCAAACTGTCTAAATCAACAGCACTCTATGCCGTTTTCTCCTTGTCGCTGTCCGTAAATACACAAAAAAATCCTCATATAATTTATAACGCGGGTACATTAAAATGGGTTACCGAAGAATCAAGGCGCCATATGAGCGATGGGCATTTTCAATCAAGAGTCTTAGGAAAAGTTGCTCAAATTTTACAGGAAAAGGAGAATAAAATTGGAGTAAATGAGCGGAAAACTGGTGGGAAGCAAATGAAACTTTTTTGGGCCTGTGGGTATATTAAGCACGCTTTTGCTAAGGTTGTAACAGTAAAGAAACGGCGGTTGAATAAATAAAAGAAGAAAGGATTTGGAACAGAAAAGCGAGATCTTCAACTATCAAGTAACATATTGGCTTTAAGTAACGAAGTCCGATAAGTAAACGACCCAAAATACGAACTTAATTGATAATTAATACTAAAAATTGCCAATAAAAGTGGATTCAAATTGGTAAAAGCAACAAATTTATTATTTGAGCTTCTCAGAGTGATTTTTGGAAGAAAATTTCGAAACTCAGTCAGAAGCAGAAACAGTTTAAACCCAAGGCAAACGTGAAGATTTCAGTGGGTATTTAAACGCGAATTTTGTATCTAAGTTTCGAAACTCTTGCGTGAAAGTTTCAAATAATCGAACGAAAGAAGCCACAAAAAATAAACTTCCTACCAAGCGCAACAACTGAAGATCAAAGTATCCAAACGCAATTTTTAAACAAAAGCAATAAATCAATTTCCACCCAAATGCAAAAAATGGTGATTTGAAGATAGAAAGCGATTGTTGGACAAAAATTTGGAGACCCAGTCAAAACATTGTTCTGTGAAGAAAAAAAAGGAATTTAAAATGGTTGAAAATAAATTGAAAACAAAAAGATAAGACAGTCCAAAGTGGCAATTAACGTTCATAAGGAAACGACTAAAAATGCGATATAAGAATATGATTGCAATTAATCGATCGAAACAACCAACAAAAACAAACACTAAAAATAAACTTCCAATCAAAAGCAGAAAATTAGGATTTATTTAAACGCGATTTTTGGAACAAAATCTCAAAAATCACAAGTAGAAATTTCTTTTAGAGGTTTAAAATGGTTGAAACGAGGTGGAAAACAGCAATATGAAAACACTACAGAAGTGGCAACTAATGTTGATAAAACAACGCAAAATCGTATGAAAATGTATGAATAATCGAACAAAACAACTGGAAAACAAAAAATACATTTCTATCCAAAAGCAAAAAATTACGATCTTTTCGAAAGCAATGTTTCAACAAAAATGTCACATTTTTGCAAAGCAAGAAGGTAAAACGGAACAAAAATGGCAATTAATTTGAACAGTAACGGATGAGTAAAAGGCAATAAAAGACAAAAACGATCATTAGAGCTGCAAAATTGAAAATAATCAAAGCAAACAGAGAGCGCAAAATCCTCATAGGTTTTTAAAACAAAATTTTGAAACTCGACCAAAAAAACTGCAAACGCGAGAAAATGGTTTAAGATGGTAGAAAAAGCCAGGTTTTCAAGTGTCTAAACTAGAGGCAATTTGAGCCACTAGAAACCATGTTAAAATCAATCAAAGAAAAGTGAAGAAAAAAATGATTTTACAAAACTCGGAACAACTTTAATAATGTAGATAGAAAATCCCCAAAAAGTGTATGAGAATTAAATGGATTAAAACCCAATAAAGAACAAGAGAAAAGTGGCAATTAATTCAAGTAACTGATGAGCAAAGATAAAAAGAATTCCATAATGTTGCAAAAAGAGAGAAAACACGAACTACAAAGTAGAAGGGTAAAACAATAATTTTTCTAAGCATTTACATGACGTTTGCACCAACATTTGAACACTGAGCCTCAAAAATGTACAGAAAAGAATTAATTTAAATTGGTAGGAAAGAAACTACTAGAACCAATGAATGTGAAATTCATCAGGACACACAAAAAATAAATTTTTATCCAAAATAAACATTTCGAATCTAATTGTTCGATGAGAGAAAAATATGGTTGAAAATATGCCCAAAGCAAGAAGTTAAAAACGGAACAAAAATGGCAATCAATTTGAGCATTAACGGATGAGTAAAAGACGAAAACGATCATTAAAGCTGAAAAGTTGGAAATAATCAAAGGAAACAGCGAGCCCAAAATCCTAATAGTTTTTTAAAGCAAAATTTTGAAACTCGACCAAAAAAACTGCAAACGCGAGAAAATGGTTGAAGATGGTAGAAGAAAAGCCAAGTTCTCAAGTGTCTAAACCAGAGGCAATTTGAGCCACTAGACTCGAAACATGTTAAAATCAATAAAAGAAAAGTGAAGGAAATCTACACAGTCGACTGAAAAAGTTGAATAATGTAGAAAATCCAACAAAGGTTGTAAAGCTTATGAGAATAAAATGTATTAAAACCCTGTAAAGAACAATAGAAAAGTGGCAATTAATTCGAGTAGCTGATGAGCAATTTGTTAATGCTGAATGGAATATCAAAGAATCGATAGACATAAAAAATAAACAGGAGAGAAGCAAACAGCAATATTTTTTTTAGAATTAACATGATTTTTGAACCAACATTTCGAAACTGAGCATCAAAAATGTACAGAAAAGATGACAAAAGTGAACTGAGAACGTGGAGAATTAATTTAAATTGGTAGGACCATAAAGTTGGACAATGTTTAAACTAGGCGCAATTGAAACCACCAGATCCAATGAATTTTAAATTCAATAAAAAGAAGAAATTATTGAACATTCTAAACAAACAACACAAAAGTAGCAGTTAATAAAAAAATAACTACAATCAGTGTGTTGGAAGAAAGTAAAAGGAAAGAAAGAAACTGCTGCCAAAAAGCGGTTTACAAAACCAGTACAAAAACTATTAAATTTATAACAGAAAAAATAAATTTTCCAGTGAGTCGGTGGATTTTTTCAATTCCCGTTGTTTGAAAAATCACAAGGGTTCTGAATAAGCCCCAAAAAAATGCAAAAACTTATAAAATTCGTCCGAAAAAGTGGCAACGAATGCGAATAACTAATGTCTAAACCATGCACAATTCGCTCCTGATGATTATTTGAAAGTAAAAAACCCAATAGGAGTGAAATATTTTCAATAATCACCAGAAAAACACATATTAAACCTTTTTAGCTTGTACCCACGAGTGGAAAGTCAATAGTAGAAACGAATATTTAAAGGACCGAGTTTGAGGAAAATTGAGGAAACTTTAAACCCAACTTGAGCTTAAAAAACTGTTGAAATTTTTTCACTCAAACTGGTGAGTTTATCGGGGTTTTAAAGATTATTTCTTCCGGACGTTGCTCAAGCACGAGAGACTCACATCATTAGAGGTACTTTGCGCAAAAGGGGGGCTGAAAAATTGTTCAAACATTAGACCACGAAAAAAGTGCTTTCACGCTTTTTTCAGTGCTTTCACGTCAAACACGTCTGAGGATGCAAAACGTCAGGAGAAATTCCTTTCAAAAGCCCGAGAAAGTGATTTTATTGGTAATTTTTCCATCCACTTGGTGAACATGAGTTTGCCCATCACTTACACAAACTGGCGCCCTGCTAAGGCAAAACCTCAAACTAAAACACCTAAAATAGTGCAAATAAATGGAAAAACCGTGGTAGTCAGCTGTGAGCCATTAAGTACTAGACTAAGAGTATACTCTACTATTGTACAATGAAAACTTCACCACTAAATTAATGATTACCACACTATAACAGTATTACTAACACAGGATTTAGCTTGTTGTATAGGAACATCAAATGAATAATCGACTGCAAGAACAGTTGCAATCGCTGAGACAAAACTAACATTCATCGCTCTGGTTCGGCCAGAGAACTGCGGCTGCTTTTTCCCTCTAAACAGCATTTAAATCGGTTTAAGCCTATCGGCTAGTTGGCACTCAACAAATCGTGTAAAAAATCTGTAAATCATTCCTGTATGGTTCAGTAGCAATGTATAAAATTCAACAGTTCTATTTGTATTGTTCAGCAGTAACATGTTGGCAACAATTTCTTCAGATAATTGCCACGCCCATTAAGGCAGATTCTCGGAAAAAAAATCGTCGGTTTCTCGGTTTGGTTTGTTCAGTTTAAAGGAAATGTGTGGGTGGTATGGGCGCGGCGCAATTATCCAACGAAATTGTTGATTGATAAAAAAATTATTGTATATTCGCTATTATCGGAAGTGAGTGATCCTGAGCTACCATTGCCAAGGCTTCGCCTCGAAAAATCAAATTGTTATGTATGTATAAATAGTCACTGTGTTAAAATTCGGCTACGGTTTGTATTATCTAACAACATTCACTACGATTAAACAAAAAATTTCCCGTTATTGCTTTCATTTTTTCGGTTTCAATCAATCGCCTAAACATAAATAAATAAGCTCCTAGAGCGAGACAATTTAGAAAAATCACAAAATCAACGAACAAAAATCGTTCTCAATTATCATCAACATCACAAGTTATCACAGATTAAATCTGCAATTCTTCATTACTAAAAGTATTTCAAATTCTACAATACCGCCGATTAGTTCAATGCGCTGTGCTGGAATGAGTCAATATTAACAGTGGCAGAAATCAGGATTTGTCCGGCACATTTGTATTGCGCTCAATGCAAACATCCAGAACATTCTAGTAGAATTCTACGATTTAATAGAGGCACTCGAGTAGATAGATTTATCTAACGGAATCAATCGAGCAATGGCGCCAAAGTTTAACAAAAATCCATCGAGCAGTTTTACCAAAAACTCTACTCTCTTTGTAAATTACTCTAAAAACGACTGACTACGCATTCTATTTACAACAGTATTATATATTTCTCTATTAAAAATATCATAAATATATTCTTTTAAGTAGGAAACACAAATAGTACTCGAACTTAATACTAAGGCGTTCTAGGTGCTGATATAATCGGGTCCTTTGGTAGCTTTCTAAAACCTCCTCCCCCTTAATACTGCTCTGATTTGCCACGATTTTTCCCCCTCACTCACGTGAACGTGCAACGACTCCCACCATATACAGGCACAAAAAAACTAAATAAAAACTTAAGCCGCCCCTGGATTTTGATGGAAAAACCATTTTAAATTTCTCCGTTTAATTCTTGAGAGAAAGGACTCTTGATGTCTTTTGCAGAGACGCTCCATTTTCGAGTTAAACATTTTTCATTGCAACGTGCACTTGGGCTGTAGATAGGTGAAAACGTTGAAAAGCAGCAGAAAGTTTCCTTTGATCGCAGATTTGAAGAAAGTTGTCGGAAATCATGGAATGATTAGGTAGTTTTTCCTAAAACGTCTCAAAAAACACAGTTGACAATGGTTTCTCTTAAAGGAAACTTCGGTTGTTCACTTAAAGAAGAGTTTCTTTGGCCCACAGCTACAGAAGCAAAGTGGAAGAAGACTGCCCAGAGGAGTTCCCCATATTTTTTTGAGTTTTACTGTGTTTTGTTAAATAACCGGGTGAAGAAGAATAATCAGAGTGCTGATAGTTTGCAAGAGAAGACAGTTTTATTTTGCCTGTCACTGCGACAGTCACATTGGAAAACTAGCAACAGCAGGGTGAAAGCCTTTTGAAAACACTTTCCAACTGTATTTTGAGTTTTAAATTATTTTTCGAACTGGCCACATTAGGAGGTACAGACACCCAGCAGTAGCTGGGTGTCTACAAGAGATGAGTTTTCTGTTGGCCGAAACATCAACAGCGATTGTCGGATGGCAAAAATGTTAGAAGTGAAATAGAAGAGTCTCCAAAGCAGTTTCCAACTGTAATTTCAGTTTCAATTTTTTTTTGGGATTCGGCCACGTTAAGATGCAGAGAAATTTGTCGGGGTGCTGTTGGGTGTTTCACGTGAACAAGTTTTCTTTTGCCTCTAACTCCAACATACGACAGTAAAACTGGAAAACGATCAATAGCAAAGCGAAAGACTGTCCCAAGGAGTTTTCACGTGTACTTTCCGTTTCAATTTATTTTTTGAACTGGCCACATCCTAAATGCAGCAAAGCCCGTAAGTGTGCTGTTGGGTGTCCAAAAAAGTGACCGTCTTCTGTTGCCCATAACTTAATGAGTGATGGTCAGATTGAAAAAGTGTTCAGGGAAAAGTCAAAGGCTGTCCAAAGGTTTCAAAAAGTGCTTTGAGTTTTCAATTATCGTTGGAATTGGCCAAGTTATTATGCAACGAAGTTTACCTAAAATGATGCCCGTTGTCTCAAGACAGACCTGTTTTTTGCCTCTCACTTCAACAGCAATGATCCGATTGAAAACCTGTCTAGGAAAAATTGAAAGACTGATCAAAGCAGTTTACAACAGATCGTTGCGTTTCCAAAAAACTTTGAAATTGGCTAAGCTGGGACGCGAAGAAATGTTCCCAAAGTGCTGTTGAGGGTCTCAAGAGAAGACCGTTTTCTTTTGCGTCCCACTTCAACATAAGATAGTGACACTCGAAAACTATCAATAGGAAAGTGAAAGACTGTTCAAAGGAGATTCCAACAGTTCTTTGAGTTTCCAATGATTTTTGGAAATGGGCAAGTTAGGATGCAAAGAAGTTTACCCAGAATGCTGCACGTTGTCTCAAGAGAGGACAGTTTTATTTTTCCTCTGAGTTTCACAGCGACACTCAGATTGAAAAAACTATCGACAGCAAAGTGAAAGACTGTTCAAAGGAGTTTACAACAGTTCTTTAAGTTTTCAATTATCTTTGAAAATGGGCAAGTTAAGATGCAAACGGTTTACCCAAAATGCTGCCGAGTGTCTCAAGCGGACAATTTTCCTTTGCCTTTGACTTCAACAGCAACCGTCAGAAGGAAAAACGATGAAGATCAAGGTGAAAGCAGATCCAAAGTAGTTTCTAACTGTACTTAGAGTTTTAAATACATTTTTTAAATAGCCACGTTAGAAGACAAAGAAATCTACCAGAGCGCTGTTGAATGATTTAAAAGAGGAGAGGTTTTATTTTGCCATTAACTTCCACAGAGGGGGTCAGATTGAAAAAATATTATAGGCGAGGCAAAAGTCCACCCAAAGGAGTTTCCAGTAGTTTTTTGAATTTCAATTTATCTTCGTAATTGGCCCAGTTGGGAGGCAAATAAGTGCACCAAAATGATGTCGAGTGTGTCAAAAGAGAACAGTTTTTTTGCCTGTAACTTCAACCGCGACAGTCGGCTGAAAAACGATCAACAGCCAAAAGAAAGACTATTTGAAGGAGCGTCCAACAGTTGTCCTAGTTTCCTTTTGTGCTAAGAAATGGTTAAGCTATGAGGGAAAGAAATGTACCCAAAAGAGAACCGTTTTCTTTTGCATGTAAGCAAAAATAAAGACTATCCAGAGGACTTTCCAACGGATTATCTGACTTTCTTGTATTCTAGGAACTGGCCCAGTTATGAGTGAAAGAAGTGAATAAAGCAATCACATGCCCACAAGTGCAACAAAAAAATCGCCCTGTCTGTGGCATAATTAATGAGGATGTTTTTCAGACAAATTATTAAGTAAATTAAGAAATTTATTTATGTTTTAATTAGGAAAACTGAATGCAGCCCGATTTTGGATGCTGAGCTAATTAGAAATCGCATGGCCATTAATTGGAAATCACTGCACATCTCATTACGGGAAAAAAGCCCTGATTAATGCTATAATGAATATAGAGATGCCGGAAGGACTTGGAGCTATTTTAATTAATTTTTAACTGGAGATGCGAAGATGCACGTTTTGCGGTTTGAAAAAATAAGCCGATTTTAAAAAACTACCACTGGCTGCGCCAATGTCGCCACCCTAATCAATATTAATGAAAGTTACTAGACTAAGTGATCCTATTTGTATAATGATTATTGCTATGTATTCTCGAAAAGCGGTAATCATTCATCCAACATCAGTGTCGGTCGGTTTCAGAACGTTGCCCTTAAATCCGGTCCCTGCCCTTAACTAATACTGCGAAAATCTACCAATGAACGAATCGAATGCGCGCTGATTTCGTTCCAATAAAAAAAATAAAAACATGCTGAGGCTTGAATTGAACGTGAAAAGCCTCCGGTCTACTATCAAGAACGTAAAGGGCCATGGATGAAGGTCAGGTGACAGGATGATGGTCTACCAACTACTAAAGTACCATTAACTAAGTCATAAGTCTATCACAGCTCTTACACATTTGCAACTTAATTTAGCTTATTCAACCGACAGTCCCTTACAATTTTTTTGCTCGTTTGCTTAAATCACCACCTGACCTATGACGCAATAATAGCTGATTGCTCTTCGCCTGGTCGGCTTTAAATATTTTCGGCAGCCGAGGAAACAAGCATGAAGAACAGGTGAAAACAACCACGCGATATGTTAGGGAAAATATTTAAAACCGCGCATTGTGTGCGGATTTTACAGTATACACATTTTGGGGGCTTTCTGCTGCTAGACGGTCCGCAAAATGGGCATATAGTCGCTCTAAAGGCTCTAAAGCAAGAGCTCCTTTAGCCCTCCATTGGCTGGAGTTGGACTTGAAAAACCATTGAAATTTTCCACTGGAGCTTGAATGTTTTCCATTGAACACCCGGTATGTTTAAAATAGGGCCGGTTTTTTCGAAAAATTTCTAATTGAAGTGAGGATTTAAAAATCGTAAAGGTTTTTTTCGTTTACAGTTTTTTCAGTTTCCAAATAGATTAGCAACGAAAATTCGTACAAAAAAATGCAAATGGCAATTTCATTGGTCGCTAGTTGCCCAGGTTTTTTCCCATTTGACAAAGTTTACTTTGTTGTTAATGAAGACACACTATACCGGGTGGCCAAATAAACGCAAAAATGGCTCTAGACAGCGGTAAAACCTGGCTGATCGGGACACAATGCTTTAAAGAAAAGTTGCTAGTAAAAAACACAAAAATGTTTTTTCCACGCAGAATTTGATGAATTATAACTTCGAAAACACCGGTTACAAGTTGGCCTTAAAGATCTTCGTATTAGTTTAGGACACTTTTTCGTATAACTAATAATAAGCGGGCGGGAGCGCAGAGCAATTTCCAATATTGACATTAGCATATCTTCTGAAGCTTTCGACCGATCCAAATGATTCTGGCTTTGTCTGAAAGAGCATTTTAAGGGCTTTATAATATTGCTTTACGCCAGATTGCTCAGTCTTAACCTAGTAAAATAGGTGGAGTTTTCCGCAGCAGTTACACATTTTTGCCATTTTTCACAAAGGTGTATGCAAAACCAGTTTTAGAACAGAAAACACACTGAAACTCACACTCCAGTTTGACTGGAAACCATTTATGCTTCATTTCGATCCTTGATTAATCATCAGACTCGTTTTCAGCAATATTTAAATTTCGTCAATTTTGCCTTCTGATTTTGATCAAAATGTCACTTGCTCAAGGAATTAATTTCACCAAAACTGAAGGAGGAACAAGAATGGCTTTTAGTCTGTGGGATAGCGAAGAAAACACTTTAGATCTGTTGCAAATTTCATTGTCTGCTCATGATCAGATTTTGCTCCAAAATATTTCAAATTTTGCGGATTTTCGTCCATCATTGAACAGAAGTTAACCTTTTTTGGCCAAAAAAAATAATTTCTCTAAAACCAGAAAAGCATCACAATTGGGCTGCTGTGTATTGAATAGAGAAAAAAACTGTTGTTGAAACGCAATTTTGCTTTGTTGATCATCGCCAGGCTTTTTTGCAGACAAATTTAAATTCGGCAAAATTTCCTTCGGTTATCCGCAAAACTTCCTACATGGTTTGCTAAAGAAATTAATTGCTAAAACTAAAGGAGTTGTGGAAGTGGATCTTAGTGTCTGAAATAGCCAAGGAGAAGCTCTAAATTTGTCGAAAATGTCGCAGTCTGTTCATCATGAGACATTCTCCCACACTGGACTAGCCTCAGACTTGTTCTTCAGATAGTTGGATAGAGAAGAAAAAACTTTATTTTTGAGTTAAAAAGTTATTCGTTGTTCATCAGCAGAATTGTTCCCAGAAATTTTCTGCTTCCCCAATTTTGCCTTCGATTATTGACCAAAGTTTGTAAATCGCTTGCCAAAAAAATTATTTCTTCAAAACTCAAGGAGCGAAAACAATCGGTTTTAGTGGGCAGGATGACGAAGAAGAGATGCAAATTCCATTATGCGCTCATCATCAGACTTTGCTCCAGATAGATTTACATTTTTGTGGTACTTAGTTCGATCAGTGATCGGTAGTGGTCGTTTGTCACTAGCCTAAAAATAATAATATTTTGGAAAGTCGAAAAGCTTCAGAATAAAGCTTCAGTGTGAATAGAGAACGAAAAACTGTATTTGTGATGGAATTTTGATTGTTTGATCATCAGCAGGATCTTTTCCAGGTATTTTTTTATTTTGTCAATTGCCTTCGATTATTGACCAAACGTCGTGCATCGGTTGCCAAATAAATTATTTTCTGCAAAACTGAAGGAGTGAGAACAATGGGTTTTAGTGTGCAAGATAGGACAGGAAACACTCTGTATCTCTTCTAAGTTTTCCTGTCTAGTCGTCATCAGGCTTTATTCCAGAAATGTTTGAAATTTCGCGGTATTTGCTGCGATCTTGCGACAGTCTCGCCGTTCATCACCAACTAATAGAAATAATTTCTCCTAAACTAAAAAAGCTTCAGAAGTGTGCTTCCGTGTTTTTGATAGAGAAAGAAAAACTATTAATGAGCTGTCATTTTCCTTCCATGATCATCACCAGGAAATTGTCCATATTTTTTTAAATTTCAACTATTTTGCCTCAAATTGTTTACCAAACCTGGTGCATCGCTTGCTAAAGAAATAGATTTCTCGAAAACTGAAGGAGTGAGAAGAATGTGCTTTAGTGTTAAAGATAGCGAAGGAGACACTCTGTATCTGTTCTAAATTTTACTGTCTGCTCATCATCAGGATTTATTCCACAAATATTTGAAATTTTGCGGTATTTTCTGCAATCTTGCGACAGTCTCGTCGTTCATCACAAGCTAATGGAAATAATTTCTCCTAAACTAAAAAAGCTTCAAAAGTGGGCTTCAGTGTTTTTGATAGAGAAAGAAAAACTATTAATGAGCTGTAACTTTCCTTCCATGATCATCACCAGGAAATTGTCCAGATTTTTTGAAATTTCAACTATTTTGCCTCCAATTATTTACCAAACCTGGTGCATCGCTTGCTAAAGAAATAAATTGATCCAAATATGAAGGAGTGAAAAGAAGGGTTTTAGTGTGCAAGATAGCGCAAGATACTAGAAAAGCAAAGATACTAGAAAGATAGTATGTTGAAGATTTGGTTCGGATTTTCCAAATTTTTTCAAAAATTGGCGGATTTTGCCTTTGATTATTATCCAAATCACTCGCTCGAAAAATGTGCTCCTCCAGAATTAAAGAAGGGAGAGAAAAATGCTTTAGAGTGTTGGATACAGAAAGAAATCCTCTATTTGTGGTGCATTTTTCTTCCTTGATCCTCAGCAGAATTCAATCGTAATGGTGGTTAGACCAACTAGTCAGATGCTCAGAAATCAGTTCAAGATTACTCGTAATATGTTGCTTAGAATGTAAACTTTTCTCTTGAAAAATACTCTTGTCCGCTCCCACTCAAGTCGCCCACGTAAGCAACTGAGACCCATTTTGCCTACCGACTTCATGAGTAGGCCGAAAGCAGAGTGGCTCCGCCCACCCAGACTTCGGCCTCTGCTTAGACTACGCTTTATGCCTACGCTAGAGTTATTGGTGCCCGAATGCTACGCCATCCAAGTGACCCTTGAGGGTGGCAGCAAGCGATGGCATGGGTTGCAAGTCCAGACCACCACCACCATTAAGCTGGGGAATTAGTGCGGATTCTCCTCCTCCGTGTCCAAAGGGCTGGGCGAGAGAAACTTGCGCACATACTTCGGATAGTGCGTCTTCTCGTGAGCCTTGAGGATGGTCGAACGCGAAAACGTCTTGCCGCACAAACTGCAGCGGAACGGCCGCTCCCCAGTATGCACTCGACAGTGGTCCTTCATGTGATGGCGCAACTTGAACGCTTTCCCACAGAACTCGCACTTAAAGGGCCGATCCCCAGTGTGGGCGGGTAGATGAGCAATAAGGGCAGCCACATCCGGGAACGATTTACCACAGAACTTGCAGAGAACGACGCCCCCGGGGGACGCCGCATCGTCCAGATCCATCGGAGTGGGCGGCTGATCCGTCGGATCGGGCGGCTCACTACGCGCGTCCACCCAACTGGTAGCCGCCGGCTCCGGTATGCTCAGAGAGGGCATGCCGCGCTGTTCGCGATACTTCAACGTCTCCAAGCTGTGGCTCAGAATGTGCCTGGTCAATTTGCTCTGATGCGGAAAGCTGATGCCGCAGTACATGCATGGGTAGATGCGGGGCGGCGAACTGGACGCCCCTGGGGCGTCTGCGCCGTCGTCAGGCCGCTCCTGCAATCCGACAGTCACACATCAACTTCTTGCCGCGTGTGTGGGTGCGCGGGCGAGGCGGCGCGGGCAAGAAGTTGACGCTCGTGTCGGCCAGAGGGCGGCCCGGCGTCGCCCCGGGCGGCCGCACCCGAACACACACACGCGGCAATCTGCCGCCCTTTCAACGTTTCCTGCCACCGATTGCTAGGCGCTTTTTCCGTTCAATGGGCGTCTTACCACTAGGAACCTTTCAGGGCACTTACCGAATCGTGCGGCATTCTGGAGTACTCCGAGGAACTTTCGCCGCCCGAGTTCTTGTCCTCCAAGCCCCCTCCCCAGTCCACCTCCTTCTTCAGGCTCTGCAACCGATAAAAAAGATATTTTCATTTTTTACTATTAGACTAGTCTTGGTGCTCCTTCTAGAGCAAGAGGAAGACAGTCTCTTGGTTTGAAAGGCTCACACCAAGACTATCTATGCAAGAACAAGACTAACATTATGTTCTGCAAGATCAAGGCACTTGCAACTGGTAGTTCAATTTTGAACTGCATTATTTATTGTTCCTGTATTTCCGTCCGTTTATTTCTTATTCAGTTGATTGAATAATCACCTGGTTCCAATATCGAGCATTCATCCAGAACTGTTTAAAATCCCGCAACTTTTCTTCGAGAATCGGCCAAAATATGTGCACCATTTTGCCTTCAGACCTTCAATAATCGGCCCAATTTAGTGGCCAATAAATCGGGAACAAGTGCGAGTATGTAATAAGTACCGTTATACTAAGACCATGCAAATATGGTTCTTGTTCTTGCTTTGCTCAAGATCAGCCTGGAAGAACTTTGCACTTCAACAGCCAGCACTCAAGAATAGTGGTAAGTCGCCTTACTCCTACTTACCAAGGGCACTTGTTGAATGGGCGGCAAATTCGAAGGCCCGGGCAGGGGATCGCAGTTGAGAGGCGGCGAAGGGCGGCAGCCCACCAAAGTGGGCGGCGGTCCAAAACTGTTGGTGGGCGGTAGGGGAGGTTCGGGTGATCCATTTTGCGAGGGCGGTCGGGGAAGCGGTTCGGGGGACTGACGGGGGGGCGGCACTGCCGCCACTGGGGAATTGCGGGGCGGCGTGGGGTCGCCCGTTCCCAACGAGGGCGGCCGTCTACTGACCAGTTCTTCGGGTTCGGTCTGTTCGGGAGGATCAGGTTTGTATTCCTGAGTCATTTCGGCCAAACCTGCAACCACATGGAAATTAATGCAATTTATGATGGCAATAATTTGTGGTTTGTTTAGTCAATCGGGTTGCTTCACTGTTGTTCGCACTAAGTGCAATCGCACGTTTCCTTTTAATTGCGGATCTGCTGAGCCGGTAATTTTTTGCGTTTTTCGATTTACTGAATTATTGCATTTTGTGCGAATTATCATGCACGAATTCAGCGAAGCGCAGCTGTTTCTTAACCGGTGACATTGATTTGCGATTGAAAGTCGGCTATTTTTGCTCGCTTTTATCGCAATCAATTTGCCTAATAATCAGTCAGGAAATGGAGTCCTCTAAATAACTGAGTGGGCGCAGCTTCCACTCAATAGAATCCTTCAAAGCATTGGAAAATCGCCTCAACTACGTGGTATTTGCCTGCAGAAGCCAGCATAACCTGACGAATCTAACCTTTAAAAAGCGAAAGTAGTCGAAGTGGTTGCAACAAAAAATCCTTATAGTTGTCGACTAGAGGAGCCCATGAAATTGTGCTTTAGTGTGTTGGATAGAGGATAAAACTAGGCCTGGGTAACACTGTGTTGTGTGTTGAGTTGCGCTTCTGAGTTGTTGCCGCTCTCAGAGTTAATGAGTTTTAACGGATTGGT